GACAGTCTTTTTCATGCGATAGTTTCAGATGTGATTAACTGTTAATCAAAACCAAGAATTCGTATTTTTGATTTGGACTATTTATCTAATCCACGGTGTTTATTTCTCTCATGAGTCAGTTTTCTTTCTAAATAAAAGTATCCATCACTCCACGAGCAGCATCTGAAAGACTCGTTATGTTGTGTGTTACAAAATACTTTTTAACACATTGTATACCTCTCTCTTTTCATTCATGTTGTTTGTTTATTAAAAGTATATGTCTTAAACATATCGCTAGCTTATTCCAGTACATATTTCTGCAACTTGTTCTTTCTGTCTTCCCTCACTCCCTCTCTATTTATTCTGTCTCTGCCCCTTCCCTATCTTTGTCCCCCTCTCTATCTCTTTCTCTCCTGGACGTCGCATAACTGTACTTGTTACCATGGTTACTCAGTTGATCTAGATTGTGACTAAAGGGCTTATCAGACATAAGCAATAATGATTTGATAACAAGATTTTTAACTGAAGGTACAACCATCCATCCATGAAGATGCTAACATACACTATGAATATGACTGTCAAAGAAAGCGGACAAAATATGCAGTTCCTCAGGTAGACAAAAGAACATCCCTTCACTGCTATTATGTAAAAATGTGTAGAACAGGTGTCACATGCATATTCACCTTTTTACATAATAGCAGAGAAGGGATGTTCTTTTGTCTACCTGAGGAACTGTATATTTTGTCTGCTTTCTTTGTCTGTCATATTCATAGTGATACACCACCTCATCTGAATCAAGGAGGATATTACCTTTGCCTGAACCCATACATTACAAAACTCACGTATATATACCTTTTATATAATAATCATTAACCTTAATTCTTCAGGTCTGAACAGTCCTTTATGATAATCTACCCTTATATTTGACAAACGGTGACATATGTTGACCAAGTTTAAGTTCAATTAAGTTCAAGTTTAATTTTATTTGTCTTTCTTCCAACATGAATGTAATACAATGTAACAAATTTACATACATGTAGATTATATAAAAGGAACACTTATAAGGACCCCCCCCCCCCCCACTCAGTGTTATTTAGGGTACGCATATGCATGTTCCCTCCTTTGGGAAACACCCCCCCCCCCCCCCTAAGTCCGGTGTGTAAAGTCAATACGGGCCGGATTTTTGTGTACTTATACGAGCCGGACTTTGGTGAGTGAAAAGTACCCCTTTACCACACATTTTGATTGATTGATTGATTGATTTTTATTCGACAAGCTTCCAACATACAAGTATACAACAATATACAATAATAACAGATCAAAAATAAGTCAGCTTGAACCAGGCGCGGATCCAGGATTTCTTAGGGGAGGGGGCCCAACTTTTTTTTTTTTTTGCTCCCGAAAATTTGAAAATCGCGCCGGCCGAAAAGTCGCTCAGTGGGGGGGGGGGGGGGGGGGGGGGGGGGGGGGGGGGGGGGGGGGGGGGGGACACAATTTTTTTTTTTTTTTTTTTTTTTTTGCTCCCGAAAATTTGAAAAACGCGCCGGCCAAAAATTCGCTCAGTGGGGGGGGGGGGGGGGGGGGGGGGGGGGGGGGGGGGGGGGGGGGTAGTGAGCACATTTTTTTTTTTTTGATCCTCAAAAAAATTTCAATTTGCACCCCCCCTCTTGAGCGCCAGGGGGGGGGCCCAACCCCCCAAAAAGGTAAAAATCACGTGATTTTTTCTCAAGGGGGGGGGGGGGGGCCCGGGCCCCCCGGGGCCCCCCCCCCTGGATCCGCCACTGGCTTGAACAGGATAACCCACGAAAGCTCGAGAGCTTATTTCAAGTGGGGTCCCTTACAGACATGTATAAAATGAATACGATAAAATAGTAATATATACAGACAGATAAGAAAAATAAAAGAGTTACTTATTAAAGATAATAATAATTATAACAACATTAAACTGATGATAGAAATGATAATAAGTACAAGAAGAAAAAGAAGAAGGAGAAGAAGCAAAAGAGGAGGAGGAAGAAGAGGAAAATAATGATGAATTTCTAGAATTTCTATAACGTACGAAAACATAAGTATATACACAATGAAAAAGTATGAATGAAGTATGAAGTAATCTACATGACTATGTAACACGCATGGTATCCCTCCGTATGTAGATTACAAGAAATTGAAGAAATAGCCTTCATCTTTTTCCGAGCTAATAAAAAATGAACGTCATTGCACAGAATTTTAAAAATGAGTGAACAAGCTTCCTTAACAAGCACAAGACATCAGAAACTAGATTGTATGATTGCTACCTTTATTACATCTCTCTCAAATGGCATCAGAGATTTGTATAATCACATAGCACACATTATGCTCATTCGATTAGTTACATAATATATACAAGTCTAGTATGAATACAAAACCTTTTGTATTTTTACAACAAACATGGCAAACACATACACATCTACATCCACACCACTGCCACATACACACACACACACAAGTTTATTGCATTACGGTTCAACCATCTGTTCTGAGAAAAATGCAGATTAAATATAGCATTATGATTCTGATCAGACGACTGACAAATTATTTATCTTTCAGTTTCATTTCTCTATAGAATGAACAACAAGAAAGAAAAAAAAAGCGAAGTCATGTCTTCTGTTTTGAACATTTTGAACATTCATATGAAAACTAAAGCATTTTTATATATGCAATGTTTGAGTGGAAACATCACCTCATCTGCTTCCTGTGCGATTAAGTGATTCAAAACCTATTAGCCAAATTTCTTTTCATAAGTTGATGTTTTGACTGAAAATGAACAGAAAAGGAGTACTAAAAGATTAACAAATTGTATAAATTTGTGAATTTTTAATCCCAAATTAAATCCCGTTTCTCAATAAATGATTTTAGCTTTGAACTACAAGAAAATGGGTTAGTTGTTGCAAATATCGTTTGAAAAAATACAGAAAGCGTTTAAATTTGTATTTTTTTCGGCTGTCACCTTTCCACATGGCGAATATAGATCCCATTTTCATCGTTACTCTTACATAGTTTGTATTTCACAAATCCTTGGTTATAAACTGGGCAATCAAAGAGTTGTTGAATCTTGCAGCTCGTTTGTTACTTTGTTTGGAGCCAGAAGGGCATTACCTCACATACTGTAACACAGCGTTACCGCCCTTCTGGCTCTCAACAAACGAGTTTTGACAATAAACGAAACAAATAGGGGGACAAAAAAAGAATGACTATCATTTTAATCCTATCCTGCAGACGTTTTAACAATTTAAACATATATCCAAAGAAAATAAATGAAATTTAATATTTTTTTAAAAGATAAACAAAAAAGCATGGACTGCCATTTCCCCGAATATTTTTTAAAATGTCAATGTACATTAATAATAATCAACAATATTTACATGTCATCTCTTTCTATATTAATATCCTGAACAACTCTAATTTTAGTAATATGTGATAATAAATACAAGTTGTTTTAAGGAGAGATAGAAAATTTGTTGTTTACAGTTCAATCTTTAAAATCAGTATAAGCAGCAATTGTTGCATTTTTTTCTTTCATTCGATTATTTAGAAATGTGTTCAACATTACATTTATATATACATAAATGTATTTACACCGTTTACATCATATATGTTATATTGTAGGCTATTTACATGCACCTTTGAACGATATTTAAAATATTCTTTAAAAATATTTGCAACCTAACAAAACAGTGCATAAAACAGGGTGAATAGGAACTAAACTTGGAAAGTATTTTGACATGAATTTCTTTGCAATCACATTGGATCACACTGTCACATTAAACCTTATTACAAATAGTTCTATGAGTCACTCTATATCTCTTTAAAAAAAAAACTCCAGAAGATTAATCGAAAGTCACTACCAATCCGCTGTATGACTCTCTCTCTCTCTCTCTCTCTCTCTCTTTCTTGAAAAGCCTTTTCAGGAACTGTACCGCATAGAACTGTAAATAATAATAATAATAAAAAACGTTACTTATAAAGCGCTTACCACCTAAGTCTCTTAGCGCTATACACACAAAATAGACTGATATACAATTACATCTTATACAAAACTAAAAATGCAAACAAACATACAAATTACTATACATATGGAATACACGTCAAAGTGAACAGAGTGAATTAATCATCGAACGCAATTTTGAATAAATGTGTCTTGAAACTAGTTTTGATTAGGTTAATAACGGTTTGACCTTTTTTTTTTTTTACATTTAAAGGTAATCTGTTCCAAAGTTCAGCAGAAGCTTTGCGAAAGGCTTTGCGATAGAGTTGTATATAACAGCTCTATGCTTTACCCTCATCTAGATGCTGAACAGGCGTTGATGAGTATTACCATTAATCAGTGGCGGATCCAGGGGGCCGGGGCCGGCCCCCCCCCCCCCCCCCCTTGAGAAAAAATATCATGTAAAAACACGTGATTTTTACCTTTGGGGGGGGGTGCTTATTTTTAAATATTCGACAACTAAAAAAAAATGTTCTCTTACCAAAAGAAACAAGAAAAAGTTGGGCCCCCTCCCCTAAGAAATCCTGGATCCGCGCCTGCCATCGAGTACCGAAACTGTGACGTCATAAAAATCTTTTTTTAGAATTTCTCTTTTTTTTCCTTCATTTTCCGAAAGAGCATCAAAAATAATGTTCAAAGGACGAGAACCAATTGAATATGTTAAGTATTGGTTGAGATATGACTATCTGAATTGATATTCTCCCCATATAATAGGAACTCAGTGTTATATGCTCTGGCTTCTAACCATAAGGAGCCAGCTCAGATGGCCATATCTCAGCCAATAATTAATATATGCAATTGGTTTTCGACATTTGGACATTATTTTTGATGCTCTTTCGGAAAATGAAGAAAAAATTGAGAAATTCTAAAATTAGATTTTTGATGATGTCACACTTCACCACTCTATTAATACCATAGAAGTAGAAGTTCAGCCCTTTCTACGAATCCGGCAAATCCCCCGGCGGTTGCGAAATTTGTACCAAGTATCTATACCTGCGCATGCGCATACGGTCTTAAACAACAGACTTTGTCCTTCGTGCTCGATTCAACTCCATTGTAAGCATGAACTTTACATTATCCAACAATCTCATTTATTTTTCGGAATCCTCTTTGCAGCAACATGTTTGGCAGAGGGTTTGCAGCTGGAGCTGTGGCATCTGTCACTGTTTATGCCCTTTATTCCTCGTTAGTTCAACCGGCGCGGGAAGAAGTTGATACGGACATTCGTTTGATTAGGTCGCCTCGAGATCTGGGTAAGCCTTACTGCAAGTTTGGGTAGTCCCACATGCTCCCTTTAAACGTTTTGTTTTGTTTTTTTTGATTAAAAAAAATAAAATAAGAAATAATGAATTAGAAAAAACACTGAGACGTGATTTTGCGCTTGTTCAGAAACCTATCCAAATTTTGACCCGTAACTCTGGCGTGGAGGTACCTACTAAAACAAGCGCTTGTTCAGAAACGTAGACTAGACCTCTAGAGTCTATCCAAATTTGACCGTAACTCCGGCATGGAGATACCTAGACCGAATTTTCTGTCTCTTTCGTTCGTTAGCCTCTTATTGGGGTAGGGTCGGCTCTCTCTTTAGAGATGGAAACCGTCTATACACATTCCCTTGATAACGCCACGGCCATTTCAGGTCGTAGCGTTTTGCCCCCAAAATCCCCCAAAATGTTATTTTACCTCATGCATTGATTATTTAAAATTAGGAGAAGGTTATACTACATCGGTTCCACTTACCAACTTGACTGAAATAATCCGTTTAATGGAAAAACTGTGATAACGCCATTACGAACGTGTAGATGGCGCACAGTTTTTCCTTCATAATCGTTTTGCCTTCGGCGTAGACTAGAAGGGATGAGATTGATTTAGATGACTCCGTGCGCAGCGAGAGTTTAACACGGCTTGCAAGATTTCAACATGGATGTCGATTTTGACCCATAATTTCCTTAAAAGGGACCATTAAACGGATTATTTCAGTCAAGTTGGTTAAAATTAAATGTCCAAATAAAGATCATGAAAATTTGTTATGTTTATTACCTGTTTCAACAGTGTTGATTCTGTTTTGTGTAGTTTGGGAATACATTTACAAGAATTCAGTAGTTTATAGTGAGTTGATGTTTAAACGGCACTACGGCAGCTATCATCTTGTCAAGAATCGTGAGAATTTCTTGCATATGAAACTTTCACTTATCCTCTTCAAACAAGTACTTCGTAACTCAGTGAATGAAAAACAAAAGCAGTTGAAGTGTGCATAAATTCATCTTACCTGGTTGAAATGGTTTAGTTTTTAGTTTTAAGTAACTTAATCGAAAGTGAAATTAGCTTTATTTCTGTTTTTCACTTTCTTTGCATGCATTTTGCAAAATGCACTTTATATTTGTGCCATATGATTGTGCAAGTGAGCCAAATTCATGCAATACATCGGATCTAGAGATATTATGGATCTCTCTTCAACATTACTAAAAAGGGAATTACACACTATAGCATCATATTGGCTCCAAGAAATAGATAAGTTGAGATGAACGGGTTTGTTAATGTTTTGAGGAAAACTGGAAAAGGATATCAAAAGAGTGTTTGTTTTACAGTTATGATTGATAAAGCCTACATTAGTAGCCTACATTTGTAAATTGGTAACTCTTTAATCTGCTTTGATGATCTCATTCTGTTCTTACAGTACAAAACCAAGAGCTTTAATATCACAAGGGTTACCTTCAAGTTCCCCTTTTTGATTGATAAATTCAAAGTTGGAAATATGACCTTTCTTATCCTTTATCATTTTCATAGATCTACATCATTTCTTCAATTTACTGCTTTTACTGATCAATACTAACTCATAACATCAGGACGCACTTCAAATTTAAAGGAAAAATTTACTTCATGCTTGCAGTAATTTATTATATTGCAATGCTTGTACATGACGTTGCCTTCCTGTAATAAGCTATAGATCTATAGGAAGCTACTGTTTGAAATGAGGAAGTGCTTTGTTTACAAAAAATCTCTACATGAAGGCTACCAAAACATACATGCACATGTTGATATTGTGTATTATAAAGCCCCTTTCATCATCTCATCTCAGTGCATATTGCACTGTGATTGGGAATGGGTATTGCCAGACAATAGGACCATTCACACGTGAGAAAAAGTTACGATTCAAATTTTGTTTAAATCCGACTTTCTATAGGCCTGATCATATTTGGTGTGTACACAAACTACATGGCACTACAACAGAACTGCCAACCAGTACGATTTTGTACGATAGTATGATAGATCCCCCCCGCCGCCACAAAAAAAGAAAAAAAAGAAAAAGATTTCCCGAAATTTTGAATGTGCCTGTGCATAATTCTTCAAAATGTCGGCGAACAGTCTATCGATCAAAAATGGGATTTTTTAGGGGAAAGAATAGGATATTTGTTCAGTGGGGTTGGCAAGATATCAGTGTATTAATTAGAATAAAATAAGATCCCCCCTCCAAAAATATATATATATATATTCCCGAAATTTTGAATGTGCCTGTGCATACATGTAATTCTTCAAAATGTCGGCGAACAGTCTAACAAAAAGAAAGTACTTATCAATCAAAAATAGGATTTTTATTTTAAAAACAATTTTTTGGGGGGAAAGAATAGGATATTTGTTCAGTTGGGGTTGGCAAGATATCTGCTACAGTGTATTAATCAGCATTAATCAGAGTTTTTGTGTACACCCTGTGTTATGATCAGAATCTCCCTCACACCCAAATTAGTGAGATCCTGATCACATGGCGGTGTGCTCCATTTCGTCCTTGTTTTCACGAAGTGACGGTAGTGAGGAAAATCGTCACGCAAAGTGAATGCAATTTTTTTTCACTACCGTCACTTCGTGAAAACAGCGACGATTTGATAAGCACTTTCAGGAGGATAAGCCAGAGGTTTGAATCCCTGCCAATGTACGAACGCCTTTTGGCAAGACATTAATCTACATTTCCCATTCTCCACCCAAGTGAGGTACTAGTAAATGGGTACCTAGTAGGATGATTCTTTGCATTGCACTCGGTGCTGATGGTGGTTGCTGGCGCTAAAGCAGGGATAACTGATGTAATATTCAAAGCTCTTTGAAGTTCATAGAGATGTGAAACCACATTGCGCTATACAAGAATGGAAGATAAAACGATTTACTCTGTGTGTGAACAGCCCAATCTCCACAGCCACTGATTATCATGTGTACCTTGATTACTTCGTGATATACTTTACAAGCAAATGTCTTACATCATGGACAAGAAAGCAGGAAAATATTGATGAAATTGTGTAAGGACTATAAGGATAAAAAGGGACATTTGTTAATGATGAATGTTGAAATTCAAGAACATTCTAGGGAAGCAGAGGGACAATTAGCAAAAATGCAATCTTGCATATATCTGAAGTACACATCAAGTGTAAGAAAAAATGTGTTTCCTTTTCTTATATTACCAATAGTTATGGGAGAGTTTCAGTCCCAAGCCCCCCCCCCCCCCCCCCCCCTCCCCTCCCTCTCTCCCTCTCAGGTGGATCTGCCCCTCTCCACGATTTCACATGGTAAAATTATTACTACATGTACATGTTCATTTTTCATTTCTTTTGTGTGTGTGTGTTGATTTCCCTATCCCCTGCCCCATTACAAAGTACGACAATTATTGGGCATCACTTTACAGTTATTGATGATATGTTCTTTTTGTTTTTATCAACAGCAGGAGAAGAGGATCCCAAGGGATCTGATATCTTAAAGTACGGTACACCAGACAGCGGAACCCAAACCAGAACATATACAAACCATGCCTTAAGCTATGACCAAGGTAGACGGACACCATCATGGGTAGCGGAACACATCACCAAGCAAGACTTGCAAGGTACCACTTCCAGGGGTCAGTGACACAAAGACGTAACTCCATTTTGGCCATTTTTAGAAAGAGTGGTTTAAAGTCGCTGAGCACTCGGGCCTTAAGGAGTTAAGTCTATGTTTCGCTAGCAACTGACTTCAATGGGGGTGTTGGGTGGAGTTAAGTCTTTGTGTTTCCTGGAAAGCGCAATTTTTTTTGGAGCATTTTGATATCAAATACTCATTTTGGCAAAATATGGAGTTACGTCTTTGTGTCACTGAGCCCTTGACTTGATGATTCACTTTCTCTCTAAGGTATCCCACCCAAATGAATTGTAGAGGTTTTGTAGAGGTCTAGTGGGTACGCGTCACCGTACTGTGAATCACATGGTTCACAACGCTAACGTCCTTCAGCAAGACATTAATCTTCATTGCTTAGACACTCTCCACCCAGGTGTTAAATGGGTACCCGCCAAGAGACAAATGTTAATGTTGTTGGATTGGCACGTGTGCGCTCGTACAATGGGGCCTGACCGGAATACTCCCCAGGTGACAAATGTGACTATTAGTATTGTTATGATAAAAAAACCTTGGGACAAACATACAGGCAACATTGTTTTCAAAACTTTCTATTCTTAGACTCTGGCTCTATCTCAAGAGTTGCAATTAATCTGGGTTGATATGGATTGATCTCTAATCCTCCACTCAATTGCAAACTTACAAACTCCTACATTGACCTCTTTAGTACAAATTTGTGATGGATGCCCAGTTGAGATCAGTTTGAATCAATTGCGAGGCAAAGATGCTGGGGGGAAAGTAAATTCCAGGCCCGAATGGTTCTTGGAAAGAAGGTGAGCCGATAAATATCCTTCTTCCATCTTATGTTAGAGAAGGAGAGATTATGATGTCCCTTGAGTATCTTCTGGGGTTGTGTGATGTATTCAGGTCTGGGTATGCCTACTTGGTCTTTGATGGATTTGAAGAAGAGCGAGTGTCTAGCCCCAAAACGTTGACTCTGTAACCGTTGCCATTTTAGATCACTCTTCAGGTCTAATACATGGACGTCTATTCCATATTTGCCAGTGACAAATCTAGTCCCTCTGTTCTGGACTCCCTCTAGTTTGTTGATGTGTTTACTTTAAGTAAGGATCCCACGCGCTACTGGCATATTCTAGATGAGCCTTACTATAGACAGGTGAATGCAGCTTCTCTGATCTTCTTGGTAGAGAAGCCAGACAGGTTACGACGAATCATCCCGAGCATACAGTTTGCCTTCTTGACTACTTTATCCACTTGGTTCTCCCATGATAAGTTGTTGGTTAGTTCCACTCCGAGGTAGGGATGGTGGTTTACCTCCTTGAGGGTAGTAGTGTTTATGTAGTATGCTTGGTTTATGAGATTACGTCTCCTCCTGGAAATTCAAAGAACGTAGCACTTGGTGACGTTGAATTTCATTTGCTACTTGTCTGCCCATGTAGATAACCTGTTCAGATCCGTCTGGAGGATTACTGTGACGTTGATCGTCTTAATCGCTCGGTAGAGTATGCAATCATCTGCAAATAGCCTTATTTGAGCGCCGTAATGGCAGCACAGCTAAAGCTGGGGTAATAATCTCCAAGTTTGGAAGCCCTTAGTGATTCTGATAAGCGCTAATATAAAAACTGAGTATTATTTATTATTATTATTATTATTATATTGCCTGTCAGAAGTCATGTGGGTAATACAGTGCGATCATAATACAGTGGATGGATGTATGCTAGACCTGGGCTGAAAGCCATACCCTTACATGGGTACTTTCTCCTTTATTTATGCCTGTCATTACTTTTTGTAGCACATAGTTTACCAAAATTGAATGCCAATAAGTTTATTGGTCGTACTTATGAGTAGAGTTGAGCTTGTCTTTATCCATCGTACAAAACCAGCACAAATAATGATGATAAGTGATATATCTCATTCTAATTTGTAGCGGATAGTTGTTACTAAATCCATTTTACTTGGTTTACTATTATTGTCACAGGTACAGCAAGCAGGAAGAGTGCTAACTTTAAGATGGACCCAAACCTTAACCCAACATATTCCTCCATGAACAGTGATTACAAGAGAAGTGGCTGGTCAAGAGGTCACATGGCTCCAGCAGCTGATAACAAGTTTAGTCAGGTAAGAACTAGTTTGAACTGCATTGAACCAATAAAACTTCATGTTCTTTGTATGCAGAATGCAATGGAGTTTATCATTTTAGATTTGCCCTATTGGTCATTAGATCTTCTCGATGATAATGCTTGATTTCATTACTTCTAAATTTTAGAACTAAAGGCTAAAGAAGATAAAAATGCAGTATGCAAAATATAATAGCAAAGTATTTGTTAAATTTTTTTAATTTTTAGATGTAAACTTCTATAGGCTAAGGGGAATCTGAGTTTTGAATGCAAATCTGCTCCCCATGAATGTGCTCTATTATTTCTATGTTTATCTCATATAAATTTTAATCTCTATTTCAAACATGTAGGACCTCTAGAAGACCATTGAAAAAAATTGAGAAACTCAACGTTCATTTGTGTACATGTAATTAATGTTATTTTTTTTACTCATTTATCTCATAAAAAATAGATTTCTGTTACATTTTCTTATCTACAAAATCTATATGAAGTTAGATCGCTTTTATTTATTTATTTGTTGATTTTTGGGGAAGGGGGAGGGGTGTTCATACTCAGATGAGACAACTTCTTCTGCTTTACATCGTAAATAACTCACCTGTCGTTATTAGAAGGTACATTATCCATTTGCGGTTCAGCTAATGGCATAGATATCACTTACTGAATTGATGTATTAGATGGATGTACATAGAAGATTAGCTTGTCTGTATTTAAGAGGATTGGTGAATCCTAAGTTTCCAATCAAAACCTCTTCAAAATGTATGGTTTCAGTTATTACACACACTGCAAATTATAGTAAAGAATGATTAAATGGCCATTATATGTGAAGAGAACGTGAAATCTGTTTATATTTTTGGTGTATTTTGATTTCACTTTACTTTTTTTTAAAACTCTTATCATGCCACAGGGCTAATCCCCATTGTGCCAAGCCCCAAATCCCCCTCGTGCCAGGTCGTTTTGGAGATAATCTGATTAACGCGATGGTTCTATGAACGTCGAGTGCAAAACACACAGCACAGTCCAATGAGCATGAACAATAACTGCTATTACGAAAGCGCCCTTGCACGCACATGGCACTCAATAGGTAGCTCTCTCGCATGTACGAAGCAGCATAGCGATAGCGTGCATGCAGCCTTATGGCAGGCTATGAGTTAAAAATGTAAAATAAAAGATATACCACTTACAGAGAAACCACTCTCATTAGAAATACATAAGTACATGTGTATGTATTGGTAATATCATGAACCAATCCTTTTACTTTTGTTGTTGTTCTGGATATGAGGCAATGAGTGAGACATTCTGCCCTACAAACATCCTCCCTCAAGATAGACACAATGACCTTTTTCAATTTCTTATTTTTATTTACAAGAAGCTATGAATGAGACATTCTTCCAAACCTCCTACATTTCCTTTTCATTTTACCGTATTTCATTTTCAGGAACATACATGTACCATACAACATATACAATCTGTAGATGATGGTATGAACATCTTTCCCTAAAAAATTGTGTACAGAAAGCAATGGAGAATGAAAGAAACATTCTACCTTCCAAACATCCTCCCCCAAGATATAGACAATGATATCAAGTCTGTAATTGTGTTTGTCTCTTTAATACAGGCAGCTTCACATGCATGAATGAGACAATCTACCTGACAAACATCCTCCCTCTCAATGCAGACAACAATATGATTTATTATTATTTATGATTTCATATACATGTATAAGAAACCTAAAATACATTTTTTATCATACAATGTATATGGACACCCTCTCTCAAAATAAACAAAAAATGTTATGAAATTCTTTAATTTGTTTGTTGTGAGAAAGGGCCTTTACATGAGACATTTTACTTCTGAAATTTGTTTGTTTGTAAATAGGAAGCCATGGATGAGACATTCCACCTGACAAACATCCTCCCCTCTCAATGCAGACAACAATATGATTTATTATTATTTATGATTTTATATACATGTATAAGAAACCTAAAATACATTTTTTATCATACAATGTACAAAATAAACAAAAAATGTTATGAAATTCTTTAATTTGTTTGGTTGTGAGAAAGAAGCCTTTGCATGAGACATTTTACTTCTTCAATCTGTTTATTGTAAATAGGAAGCCATGGATGAGACATTCTACCTGACAAACATCGTCCCTCAGGATATAGATAACAACGGTCACTTCTGGAATCTGATGGAGATCTACTGCCGTAATCTAACAGCTAAATTCAGTGATGTGCGGGTGATCAGCGGCCCTCTGATGATGCCCAATGTGGATGAAGGAGAAAAGCAGTACGTCAAATATGAGGTAAGCTGATAAATACATATATCGTCGGTGGGCTGACAAAACCTTGTATCTCAAAAGTCATGAATTTTCAGGAGAGCGAAAAAACTTTCCTGTCTCACTAAATTTAGTGCTGTGACACCGTACTTTCTTTTTAAAACTGGAATATTTATACAATTTTTAATGTTATTGTTGAAATACAGTAAAATAATTGTTTTTATATTTGAAAGTGAGTTACAAGGTTTTTGCGTTTATATACATTGAGATACAAGTTTTTAGTTTGTATTCAAATTGAGATACGAGTTCTTACTTTCACCTCTGAATGAGTTACAAGGTTTTGGTTGAATAAGTTACGAGGATTTGAATACGCTAACTTCGGTACTGTTAGGCCGTGTGTGAGTTAAAAGGAAAAGGAATTACGTATCTTATGTTACTAGGTTTTGTCAGTGCAGTTTCAAAGGGGGTTAAAGTTACGAGGTTTAGTTTAAGGGTGTTTGTGTGGAATTCGTGAAAAAACCGAGACAGGAGGCGTTCCATGAATTTATCAGGTGTGTCTTGGGCCATTAGGTACAAAATTATGCAAAAAAATTAAAATCTCAAAAAATTGAAATACAAGGTTTTGTCACCCCACCGACGATATGCTGTTTCATGATTCATACTTAAAAGGAATAGGGTATATTTGCCTCGGATTCTAAAAAAAAATGCTGGATTTAACTCATGCTGCAAACATAATTATAAACCTTTAGGTCTGTAAGGAATCCCATGGACTATTACAAGCCGATGGCCTGTCTGATTATCAAGATATTTATGATTGGAATTAGAAATTTCAAAAACCGTTTTACTGAAGGTTTTTATAACACTACAGTATTGGCAAAAATGAGTATGGTAAAGCCGGTCACTCAAAGTTTTTTACTTTTTTGAAGCACTTCATGATCATTTTGAAGCACAATTTTGGTAGGGCTTCAACACGTACATGTAGGGCCATGCATCTCAGATTTGTAAAACTGGACACATTGTTAAACAATGCCTTTAAGATATATTTAAACATTTTTCATGATGACTACCGTAATTGAACTTGGCATCCAGTATAGTTCAAAGCACTTCTCAAATGACTCTATGGAGGATTTCCTTTCATAACCAAACCCATTTACCGATTGGTCCATCTTTCAGAACATAATCAGTTATCCTTTCTTACTTGAATGTGTTTTGATTTCTTGTGCGAACACCAATAAGTCCCCAGGTAGTATTGAGTCAGTGTTATACATGTAAATCAGCTTATTCTCATTGCCAGCCAAGCGCGGATCCAGGATTTCTTAGGGGAGGGGGCCCAATTTTTTTTCTCAAATTTTTTCTTCCGAAAATTTGGAAATCTTGCCGGCCAAAAAGTCGCTCAGTGGGGGGGGGGGGGGGGGGGGGGGGGGGGGGGGGGGGGGTAGTGAGCACATTTGATTTCTTTTGGTCCTCGAAAATTTAAAAATTTGCACCCCCAGAAAAAACGAAACCGAGAAGTATCGATGTTCTATAATTAATGAATGATACATATTTGGAAAGCTTAGAGTCTCCTCTTTCATGTGATGCTACTCAGATGATGCATATTTCACGCATGAGTGATTAAAAGCAATTTGAAGGAAGGAAACCAAAATGACATTTGGCGGGCGGTATCTGAATTTCAAAGAAAAATTCACATTTCTAGAAAGTTGAGTTTCTGCCCTTTCATATGACATCTCAATCAGGAAAAATGAGCAAGGAATGACAAAGTTCTGTTTGTTTAAAGTAGTGCGTGCATTTCCATAATTTTATCAAACGAATTTGTTTTCACTGGCTGCCCGCCGTATCAATAAACGAAATTAACAAAAGACTTAACTCTGTTTCGTTGACAATCAGCCGTAGACGAGAGTCTTCATGCATGGCTGGTTGTCAACGAAATGGAGTTAAGTCTTTTGTCAAATCTGCTTTTTGCTACGGCAGGCACCCAGTGAAAGCGAAATGTGAATTTTTCTTCGAAATTCAGATACGCCCGCCAAATGTCTTTTTTGGTTTCCTTCCTTCAAATTGCTTTTAATCACTCATGTGTGAAATATGCATCAACTGAAAGAGGAGACTCTAAGCTTTCCAAATATGTATCATTCATTATTTATGGTTGTGATTAAGTTACGATAAAACATCAATACTTCTCGGTTTCGTTTTTTCTGGGACGCACTGTACATGTATCTTTTCTTATAACCCATTGACTGTATTGGTGGTTCCTGTTTTAAAGACTATGAGAACACAATAATTCAGTAGTGAGTGGCTTAAAGAAAACATTTTTTTCCCCTCAAGTCCCAATAAATGAGTGAATTTGAAAAGAAAAATACTGCTAGAGAATTACAGTCACAAAATTGAAAAATTGTTTGTGTTCATGATCGTTTGTCATTTATTTCATGGATAGTCAGCCTTTTCAGTAAGGTTGAATGTGATGTTACCTACATCTTTGTTTTATGAAGATGTACATGTATGTGAATATACGCAGGGTTGTCAACCCTCCTGCATTTGGAGGGAGTCTAACACCACCACGCTCATTCTCCCGCCGCTCCAAAAGCTTGTAGCGGGAGATTTCCGCCACCAAACCTTCCTCCCGCCAACAATGTAGAATCTCTCAGGTTTATGAAAAAACCTCCCGCCCCAATTTTTTTTAAGATATGTGCTCTTCCCCTCCCCCCCCCCCTCTCAAAAACTGGACACACACAAAAAAAAATGTGCCTTACCCTGTATACGTAGTTGCACACATATTTATATATGTACAGTTATTAATTAAATATACATTTTAGATTGTCATGACATGATTCAATTTACTTGATACCACTGTAAAGAAATAGCAGCAATATGAACTGAGTAGCAGAGTTGCATACTGCCATCTTGTGACAAGATCTTGCCAGTGTATACATGTACATTGCTTTATTTGATTTTAGTTTTTTTGTATGACAAATTCTCAACAGCATAAAAATCAGCACTAAAGACTTTATAGAGAAACATACATGGTATTCAGGAAGTGTAAGCATGACCAGTTAATAATAACACTGCTACGCAAGAATATGGCAAAACATGCCTGTTAGGTGGTGTAAGAATAGAGAGGTGTGAAGTATGTTTGCTTTCATAAATAGAAACATATATTGAGAAGTATTTTGTTATTCATGCGACTCTTCATGCATATTGTAGCTCTATACATAGTAAACTTTAAAGGGGTGTAGCCTGACGAGATTGTGTGTCTTTCCCGTGGCCTGACTGGGGGCTAATTGGGTATAATACGACTATGGAGGACGCGACCGCAGCAATCACGTTCGTGCAACATACATGAACGCTGACCATGTAGAGATTAAGCCGCTGACTACTGTCAGTCAAGTCCATTCACATGCAGTTGTCTAAAAGAAGACGTAGATGGCGTTAACCAGTATTTGCCAAGCTACACTCCCTCTAAAGTAACAGAGGGTGTACAAAATAATGGGCTGAATGGAAAGCAAGGCTTTCCGTTTTAGCTAAAGCCCCTTTAAAGTGTTGGGAGTCCCAAATTCGCCACAAGTTTTACTTAAATTGTATCATAATGTGAAAGAGGATGTAATTTAAATTACACTGAACTGCAAAGATTTCCTCCCCCCCCCCCCCCCCCAAAAAAAAAAAAAAAAAAAAAATGTGTTTGAAGACAAATATTGATAATTGCATGGGTTTTATGATGTACGCAGAAAACCTACTGGTGCATTTTGTATTCTTTTATCAACATTTGTCTTCAAACAAATTTGTTTTGAAAATCCTTGCAGTAAAGTATTTTAAATGACATCCTCTTTCACATTATGATACAATTTAAGTGAAATTTTGCAATAAATTTTTCGGACTCCCAACTCTTTAAAGGGGCTTTAGAATAAGGCTGTTATCAAAGCTACATGTATGTAATAATGAGGTCTTCTTCACAATACTCTAGTACATAATAGCGTAGTGAGCTAAATTCATTGAAATTATATTCCCATGATATTTAGCCTTACTCAACTCATTTAAAATCTAAAGATTGAGTGCATGCTCTTCACTATCAAAGAATGTCAAATACAATACACTCAGAATAGGTATGTCGTCATCAGCTCGAGATTACCAAATATCCCACTAGTTTAACTATCACGATCGCAAATTATCCAGTTAATTTGCATCTTCATCTGCCCGAAGTTGCAATTAGCGGGATATTTGGTCAAGATAATCATCCCAAGATATCTTGTGCTAGTTTGCAAAATATCCCCTTTTTTGCCTAGTGCGTCTTCACCAGCCCGAAGACTCGCACTATGAGCGAAAGCTGAGCAAAATATCTTGAGCTAATTTCTCGAGCTCGAGTTTCAAGTTTCAAGGTCGAATCTCGAGCTGATGAAGACGCGATTTGTAACTTCGGGATTATTTCCCAAATCACAAATAGCGGGCTATTTGGCAATCTCGAGCTGATGAAAACATACCCACTGTCTGGGTTTATAACTTCCCTTAGGCGATGCATTAATAAGCAGGTTAGTATGCCGACATCCATGAAAGGTAAAGCAATCCCAAAACCAGCCTTGGTTTTATTGTTAAATTCTGAATAATAAGAATTCGTAGACATAGTTATGGAATAGTTGCCATGTTTAAAAGTGCCTTGATGCATGCCTATACAATATTCAATGTCCTTGAAAATACAAAAGATTAGCTTTCAACCGCTAAATGAATTCTACATGTAATTTATCATTTGCTACTTAATCAAAAACGATATTACAAATTCCTCATAGCTTGGTAACCTGGCATATTTTATGTCTTCCTTTTAAAGTGGGACTGCACTACTTGTAGCTTCTCGCACTCTCTTTGTAGCCAACAATGCCTAAAGCGGTACCTGTTTATCCTCCATGGTCCCCTTTTTCTTATGTTAATTGAGAGCCGATGTGATAAGATAACCACCTGTCAGTGACCATGCAGGGAGGTATAATCCCTCCTGGCCAAACTAGTGTAGATAGGCTTTGATGAATATAATTTTTGAAGACATCTTTTTGAAAGTAAACATATTCTGCAGACCAAATGAGGTTTAATTTTTGTAGTCTAAATTCTGTCAAGTGTCAGTACTATTCCGCACAGAACGCACTCCCTCACGATATTTAGCTAAAACATCTGAACAGACATCATAAAACATAATGTGCATGGATATTACTATCCCAAGTTATTTTCCTAGCTTATCATTTTTTTCATAATATGTAAATTGATTCCTCTATGATTTATAAGTCTATGAACGGAATTTAGAAATCATAACAGGGATGTTTAGTAAATCATTGCATTAGATGACAGGGTAATATTAAAAGACTCTGTACATGTAGTTGCAATAAAACTACATGTATTGTACAAGGACTTTCAGGTTCTTCTTTTGGATGTTAATTGTTAGGTCAAAATATTATACTTAAATACTACACTTGACAACTTACCTGACTGATAAAATCACTTTTGGGTCAAAGTTAAATTGTAATTAGTGTCAGGTGTTTTTTTTTTCTCTTTGTGTTTAAATGGTGAAAATAATACAAAGCTTGTCAGAATTTGTTGTAAAATAAATGCTTGCATGTACATTTAATTACAAGTGAAGCAATTCCTCTTGTGTTTTGAAATGTAATGAAAAGTGTGGCCTTTTTATTTGCCCATTAAATATACCTGTAGGGAAATGCTATTTTTGAGTTTTTAGATAATTCATTGTTTGATATTGAAACTTTTCTCTGTTTATATGTTCATGCTGTGCTGTCTACGTTTGAACACTTTACTAGGAGTTTGATTTCCTTGACATGTATATCCCCAATATAGAATAATGCTCTTTTATAATGGTATCTATACATTTTGAATTGCCGTTGGCATCCATTGTAAACCTTGATGATTTGATATTATAGTAGAAAAGAAATACATTTTGTGGCACAGAACTCAATTCTTTGGATATGGTTGGTTGGCTGACGGTTGACAATACACAAATATTGATTTTTTTTTCTTGGTACATTCTTGTATTGGGATATTTAGCACAATTTAGTTCCTGTATGGTTAGGCTTCATTTGATGTGAAACGAATCTCAGCCCCACAGCGAACCAATTTTGGTTCAGTTTCGTTTTTAATAAGGACTTTAAACTTTGGTATAGAGCCGGTGTACATTTAGTGTAAACTCTAAATATTAATACAGGCCTACTTTCTTTTTCTATTGCATTCTCTTGTTTAATCTGAAGGTTATTTCATTTTCATTTCCCTATTGTTGTCTTCTTAGTCTTAGTTTTAAAGGATACATACAGTACATATGTATACTGTCTGACCTATATTATATTCTTCTAAGTTCTAACCATACTCTTCTTTTTGTGTTTGGAATCCATGATATTTCTTAGGGATGTTATATATTCTTCTTTATTGCTGAGACACTTGTCCTCAATTACTCCGATTATATTTCAAAGAATATGTTGCATTTTTCAAACCTGCTTTAGTGACCACCTGTATAGAAAGACCACCTGTCTACAAAGACCACTTTTTTTGTTTTCCTTGAAAATGTTTTCTTATTGAAACATACACTATAGGCACCTGTACATAAAGACCGCCTGCATATAAAGACCACTTTTCTTGTCTCCCTTGGGTGGTCTTTATAGACAGGTTTCACTGTACTAGTATTCCACATGGATAATGCATCAATCTATCTTGGAGTTGGAATTTAAGAGAGTGGAAATTTCTCAGTAGATTCTATGCTTTTGTACATATAAGCCCATTTGACATGGCTTACAGTAGTATCCAGTGGGTAGAAACAAAATCACTTCTTTCACTAAGAGTTGAATTTTTAGAGAAACTTTTACTACTCTTTTCTGCCAATACCTTCCAATTTGGAGGGGCTTTGTATCCATCAATTTTAGTGAGAATTTTCATTTTTCATTTTTTTTTCCAATCAAGTTTGATATGTGATCCAAGTAATATAATGTAATGTGAAATGAATGTTTTTCGTATGAATAGATGTTTGGTAAAAAATAATCTTTTTTTCTTTCAGGTCATTGGGCAAAACTTGGTTGCCGTGCCAACGCATCTGTTCAAGGTGATTGCTGTGGAGCCATCGAGTGGGAGTCCTCCAGACACTGTAGGTGTGGGTGTGTTTGTGGTTCCTAATGCTCCAATAGACTCCACTAAACATACCCTCAAGGAGTACCAGGTCAGTCTGGATGCCCTGGAGAAATCCGCCGGGACTTCTTTTCTTCCGAACCTGACACGGAGCTCCATGGTGGATCTCTGCTCTTTGGATCCATGTCAGATGAAGAACAAACAGGAGCTGGATCTCATCTTCATCACTAAGAGAATGAATGAGGCAACCACTCTTAACAGGTTGGATAAGTCCTGGAAAGAACTTGAGACGAGTACGATCGTACCCAGCGATAACTTGAAGAATCTGTATGCGCAGAAGAAGCGGATTCTAACGGAGAAGGAATCACAAGACCAAAGATTAAAAGCAAATGGGACCGCATGATGATCTGGTATCATTATGCTGTCTGGTCCTGCAAACACTTGCTAATGAAAGATAGACCAAGGCTGAGGGCTCTATGCCCATTGAAATGGTAACAGAACCACTAGATTAGATATTATTAACATCTTCTTCTTAATAGAGCACTTTTAGTAATATTCAAAAATGTATTTTGTATTAATATCAGAACCTCATTGTACGTGTTCATACAAGTACAGGGTGTAAGGTGAGAAAAGTGTTGTTGGTTGTTGTTTTTTATTTTTTAGTGTTTGGCATGCAAGAGCAAAGATAAATGGAAATGTAAAAAAGAGAATGTGTGAAATGTGATACAAATCTCATGTTTTTGTGTGTGTGAAGGAATGTAATAACTTGATTTATAACATCGCTGAACACAGTCGGCAAGTCATGTATGGTTTGACATTGTGAATAGACCTCATTAATGAACCCCCCCCCCCCCCCTTTGCAATACTATCAAAACTATTGTCATTATTGAAGCTATCAACCAGATTAATAGCAAACTTCATGGATCAATGACTTGTGGGAGCAGTCCAATGCCAAGTACATATCAATCACAATTCTTCTTTAGTCACCTAGCCAGGTCTATTCTCATACGATACTGATATTGCAATAGGGAAAGATTTTAGTTTCTTTTGTGATAATTAAAGGTAGTGATCATTGGCTTGTTGCAGTGAGTACTGTAATACGTACCTGTATTCTGCAACACATGTTTCTGAATAAATGCATTAAAGCAGGAAATGAAATTAAGGTTTGTATTCTACTAATTCAGTTAAAGCTAACGGTTGGTCTAAAATAATGTTTGACAAAGTGAAAACTATATTAGACATTACACTAACTTCATTTGTTAGACCATTAAACCAGATTTCGGCAAAAGCCAAAACGCAGGATCAGGTTTAAATCTTTGTAGAGTGTGGGCCAAAGATGGGCAGAGATTGTAGGGTAGGATGACATTATCCCCTTGTGTAATGCGCCAGGTGACGGCAAGAAGGCAGCTACTGATGACTGACATTGACAGTACATAGCTCTTACGACCTTCTTGCAAACAGCCGACGGATATCAGTGTTTATTCTTATGTTTGGAAGAAAAATACATTTTATCATCATTCTGTCCCAAAGTAGTACATATATGAACCATGTTGAAGATTCTGAGAGATGATAAAAATTTAACAATGAACACAAAAGTAATACCCCACATTTGACTCTCTTTAAAGTTAATTTGGGATATATTTGCGATCATTGTAGCATGGAAGCATCAGGGTTCTGGCGACATGAAATGATATTCAAGTACCGGTAGACTATCAAATGATCTAAACCAGGCCTTCTCAACTGACGGCGCGCGCGCCAGTTGTGGCGCCTCCTGTCAGTCGGAGTGGCGCGCGGCTGTTCCAAAAAAAATAATATAAACAAAATATTAAAAAAAGAGAAAGAAAAAAAGAAAGACAAACAAATATTTATATATTTTTAAAATTGAAGAACTCAGCAAAATCAAAAAGTCGCATTTGAAGTTGAGCCCCAAATGTAAGCAAGCCATTTTGTTTGTTTGATTTTCACTTGATTTTGACATTTTCGTGTTTATTGCACCAAAAAAATTAACTTCCAATGTAGATTTTAGCCAGGAATTGTACTAATTATCTCACACCAATATGAAATTATGATCGATGTTTTATGGAACAAAAAGGTGTTTAAAATGCCACATCTGGACCTTAAAAAAGCCCTAACATCCACTAGCTTCCGGGGCTTCACCCCTGGACCCCACGCTGTATCGGCTAGGTCACTAGGCCCTCTCGCAACACGGTCGCAAAACATACAGGTTGGCACTTCAACCTCAATAAATTGTTGTTTTTGGCACTTCTAATTAACTAGTTGAGAAGGCCTGATCTAAACCCAGCTGCACAAAAGACCAGTTCACGGTTAGCACATTACTGCAATGACCCCGAATATCCACAGATCTTCAGAACATGAAGAGGTCCCACTTTGTACATTTTGATATAATCACTCCTGTAGCGATGGGGGTGCTATTTAAATAGCCTTCGTTTCCCCTTTTTAAAGAATACTTTCACCTGTGTATCATGGAGTGCACTGCTTGTGCGTAAATGAATAATGATAACATAACTTTCATGAGCACGTATCCAGTATTTCGTCTCCGTGTATTTCAAAATTTGTTCTGCAATGATCTTTATCTGCTCATGATCAGACTGCCACCGTGAACTGGCTTATTACCGTCCCCTTAGCAAGGCATTGGTCGTGATTCCATACCATACCTTACCCAGGAGTAACAAATCATGTGCTATCACAATACAGGAAGTCATTATCGCACATACATGTACTTGATGTGCTAGATGATTGGTTGTTCTGATGACAGATGCACCGTGTTCATGTGTGTTGATGTGAATCCTGTTTCAGGTTCTTTGTGGATAGCTCTTAGAGAAATTTATTTTATGAAGAAGAATTTTTACACAAATGATGCATTTCCAAAGTCTACTTGCCTGTACTTAGTTATTTGATTTTTAACTATTTTTTTATAATGCTAGGAATTATGAAGACTGAAATTACATTGAAATATATTGCTATATAATATGTTTCTCTTTTTTTAACATTCATGTAGTCATGTTTGATTATTGAAATCTTGGGTTTTCCTCTTTATGATGTACTGTACACTTTGGGAAATTGTTGAATAAGCATGAAAATCAAAATAATTCTTGTAGCTTTTGTTAAAGGTACCTGTTTAAATTCTTCAGTAGGTTTTAAGCTATTGCGGCCCGAAGGGCCCGATGAGTGAGCTTATGCCATGGCGTGGCGTCTGTCGTCCGTCCACAGTTTTCAAAATGCTTCTTCTTTGTTATTTTTGAACCGATTTTGATTCTGATTGTTTCATATGATAGGGCTAGGAGGGGGATTTAAAACTTCACAGTTTTAAAACTACACAGAATCGTGAAATTCATTATCTATGCTAATTTATGCAAATTTATTCAAAATCACAAAAAATGCTTCTTCTCCTTCATTTCGACCGATTTTGATTTGGTTTGCTTTATCTGGTAGAGCTAACTTTGGTACACTAAACTTCTACACAGAATTTTGAAATTTTGCTCCATTGATTAATTATGGTAATTTATGCAAATTTATTCAAAAAATAATCTAAAAATCACCAAAAATGCTTCTTCTTCATATTTCGACAGATTTTGATTTGATTTGCTTAATATAAAAGAGCTAACTTTGGTACACTATAACCCTTTGCAGAATTTTGAAATTTTTCTCCATTTATTAATTATGGTAATTTATGCAAATTTAATCCAGAAAAAACAAAAATTGCTTCTTCTCCCTCATTTCTTGACTGATTTTGATTTGGTTTGCCTTATCTGGTAAGGCTATGTTTGGTTTACTAAAATTCTACATAGAATTTCGAGATTTTGCTCCATTGATTAATTATGGTAATTTATTCAAATTTATTCCAAAAATAACAAAAAATGCTTCTTCTCCTTCATTTTATTTTTAAAGTTTTGTGCAAAATATTAGGATGATTATTTGCAAATTTGATCCCTCACAGAAAACACTTGATTTGTGGATTAAAAAGAGGAGAAAAGAGAGGTTGAAAATTAAATGTCCCTTCCAGGGCTTCAAATTTTTAATTTTTGACCAGTTCAAAAGTGTACCACATAAAATTTACGATATTTGTTGTTGCGAGATGCGGATGAGCGCTATGTCATTGACGTTCTGGTTCATTTTATTTTAGTGATATTTTCCAGACTGTGGCATAGTCATAATTATGTTCTGTTTTTTTCTTCCCTTCTTTGTAGAATGACAGAGCTGTGTACATCAAGTCGTGCAAACACAGACATGTTACAATCTCTTTCCGTTTACCCTCACATTAAAAAATCTTCCCTTTTTAATTTGTATGATCTGTTTGAAGTATCTATGTACACAACGATGTCAAGTTTAATTGGATGACATCATATATATGCGGTCGATCAAGATCAATGTGCTATCGGTCGCGGGACTGTCGTCTGCGCTGCTCTCACTTCACTCTACACTACTTCAGTGACAGTTAACAGAATTATTATTATTATTCTATGAAGGTTGGTTTGAAAAATATAAAACAAATAATATATCATGCGCTATTTCAAGCCAGTAGTTAAAATTATGGATTCCTCGGTGACAGAAATGGCACTATTTTCTTCGGGGCTACGCCCCTCAGAAACTAGTGCTATTCCTGCCAGCTCGATCCATAATTTCAAGTAGAGCCTCTCAGTACATTTTGTTTACTATCTTCTCAATTAGCAATGAAGATAATGAGTTGAGATGTGCCTTTATCATATTTGTATGTATTTTCTATTTTTCACTATCTGATTCAGGACCTATTATAAGATGATGACGTAAGGTACTTTTTTTCAGAAAACCTTGATCAAATTCTGTACTTGAAAATTACCAGTATAAAAGTCACTTATATATTGATATTTATTCTGTCATAATCTCTTGTTTCATTTACAATTTATCTATATGTCACAGAGAACCCTTGTTTACTCAAATTGGTGTAAAATTATATTTCTGTGAGCATTATGCTTATCAATCATGATGGACTTCAACGATTTCAGGATAGATTTCTTGTTCTTGTTGCATATTTTGTCATTTTTTAGTGAAGGTATTTGAGTAGAAATGATAGTAGCCGAATTATGAATGAATCCATCTTAAACTGTTGAAAAGATTGTTGATAAGTTACGGGCAAACAGATATGAAGTCTTTCATGGAAGAAAATTACAAATGTGTTGTTTTTGCTCGTCTTTGTACTAATAAATAGCAATAGAGAAAATGCTCACATTTCCTAAACACTGTTTCTTTTTTTCTAGGAAAAAAAAACACATTCAAGATTATATTATCGAAACAAATTATATTGCACGTCTTGTATCGAATAATGTAATTAAATTCACTTATTATAAACTTCCTATCAGATATACTCCCAGAAAATCAGGTTCAATGCTATTAAAACCATATTTATTTCCTTCTCTTTTAACACGTAGCTAACCATGTTTACAAAGAACAAGAACCATGCATCCTCTTAAATGCATCCTTCAAAAACGTTTGAAGGAGGCATGGTTCCTGAAAACAATCTTAGAAAAGTGCTTGTAATTGGAGATACCCATAATTTACAAAAGTTATAAAGCATTTAAGAGCTGAACGGAAATAATAACACTGAGGGATTAAAGGCAACATAACGATGCTGGCCCTTACATCCCTTTATAAACCCCGCCTCATCATCATCAGCATCATCATCATCTTCTTTTCCTCTTCTCTCTTCTTCTTCTTCTTCTTCTTCTTCTTCTTCTTCTTCTTCTTATTCTTCTTCTTCTCCTTCTTCTCCTTCGCGTTCTTCACCTCCTCCTCCTCCTCCTTCTCCTTCTCCTCCTTCTTCTACTTCTTCTTCTTCTTCTTCTTCTTCTTCTTCTTCTTCTTCTTCTTCTTCTTCTTCTTCTTCTTCTTCTTCTTCTCTTTCTTCTTCTTAATTCTCCTTCCCCTTCTCCTTCTCCTTCGCGTTCTTCTCCTCCTTCTCCTCCTCCTCCTCCTCCTCCTTCGTCTTCTTCTTCCCTTTACTTTTCTCTTCTTCTTCTTCTTCTTCTTCTTCTCCTTCTCCTTCTTCTCCTTCGCTTTCTTCACCTCCTCCTCCTCCTCCTTATCCTTCTTCTTCTTCTCTTTCTTCTTCTCCTTCCCCTTCTCCTTCTTCTCCTCCTCCTCCTCTTCCTTCTCCTCCTTCTCCTCCTCCTCCTCTTCCTCCTCCTCCTCCTCCTCCTCCTCCTCCTCCTCCTCCTCCTCCTCCTTCTTCTTCTTCTTCTTCTTCTTCTTCCCTTTACTTTTCCTCTTCATCTTCTTCTCCGGACTTCTTCTTCTCTGTCTTCTTCTTTTAGATCTTCTTAGCTCTCTAATGGATGCACATCACAAAGTTAAGTGTTAAACATCTTGTGTTTTACATGCTAAATTATTATGATTGAATGGATTGTGACCGTGTGGGGGGGGGGATTCTTCCTGTAATATTCTAAATATGACAGTTCTATTTTTCCAGATCATTTACCTTCCATGCTGTCAAACACCTTTA